ACACACACACACACACACACACACAGACAGCCTCTCGACAATATGCGTTTTTCCTGGCTGTAGCAGTGCTATAATAGCGCTGCACAGCAAAAACGCATAAAAAGGAAAGTCCCAGGAACACACTTCCTCACTCTTTCCGTCCTTCACCGCTCCCCTCTCCCCTCAAATGTACATTACTTAGTCCGTCGGCAGAGGATCTACACCAATTAGTCCTTATATTCATCTCTCCTAGCCCTCTCCCGTGCCTCGAACGAAAACCGACAGATGCCACCCCTACTTCCACCTCCCACATTCAACTGCCGCCGTCCGCCGTGGGGCAGCCCTACCTGCCGTCAACAGAAAAAATTTTTGTGGCTTGTAGATGAGACGAACCGAGCCTAGTTATTGTAATTGCCATTTTTTAATGCTTCGGTTTTTAAAGGACGCGTGGGATTACTTCGCGGCATGTTTTATCGTGGTGGTAACGTTCGCACCAGTGGGTAGTCTGCTCGCCTCGCATTTCCATCGATTAACGTTGGCTTCAATGATTTACGTACTTGAGACAATAGCACTTATCTCGGCGCTGATCATTGTGCGGCCGTCGCTATATCTCACTGCTGCCTCAGCTGGCGTCATTGTTTTTGCATTCATATTTTACTCAATTATTGGGCGAATTGGTACCAGAATGGCCGAACAAGCTGTGATGAAACAGGACAGGCTTCTGCTTAGTGGTAATGCGAACAGCACTTCCGATCAGAAAAACACATCCGCGTGATTTTCCCTTGCTAGGAAGCATTCCCTGGCAGAATTTGATATTTCTGCTGCACAGTAGGGAAAATCAATCATCAGAAACGCAAAAATGCATAAAAAGAATGTATTTGAATGCTTCGGAATACTGCCTTGAATGCATCGGCCTACCAGACTCGTCGAAGTCAATTCTCCTCAAAAAAGAAAAAAAAAACTCAAGCCATAACAAAAACCGAAGTTTATTCATTTTTATAACTGATATAAAAGATAACTGTTGGATAAGAATGCAGGAAAGATTGAGAAGAAAGGGAAAGAATGTAAATAGATAATATGCGGGAAAACAGCATCACTAAAGCGAATGGTGATATGATAAATGAGGAAAATGTAAATATGATGATATGCTGAGACAGTGTGAAAGTGAAAATAAGGAGCAGAGAGAAGAGTAGCGATATGTTATAGTATAGTTTCCGCGCGACGTGACGTACGCGACCGCGAGAAAACACTGATATGTCGAATTCTCGGGAAAAGCAATCGTACACACCAACTAGCGTGAACATCAACGAAAGAATACTGCACACGTAATAAAACTTCCAATCCAAACCACAACAACCGCGCAATTAACAATACATTATTAAACTAACAATCGTAAGGGCACTAATCCTAGTCCGCCAAAAGACACTAAGCTTAGGCCTGCCTGCTAAATCATCGCTCTTATTTTCCTCCATCTACACATCCCACAGTTTTTGTTCTTTCAAGCCGTATTGAAATTTTTTCGACACCATGATAATTTGACCCGTAAACCGCTAAATACACCCGAAGACAAAAAATTAGGTACGGGTGCAACGTTAAAACGAAAACAGGGAGTAAAGGAAACTCGCTTTCCATTTTTAGGGCAAGAGCAAGAACTTGAAAAAACTAAACAGAAACCGTAGAATACGGTGGAGAGCCTTTCAAATGATACTGCCGGAACACAAGCAGAGTTATGCCTGCTCAGTCAGCAATGTGAAAAATGACAATTATGCCGTACCATGTACGTATAATTTATATATCGGGCAAGTAGGTATAATCACAGGAACAATGAATAAGAACTGAAGAATACGAAACCAAGATATTTAAATACCAGTTTAGCATTATGCACACGCAGTCCGCCCAGAGGGCGGCAAATCTTTAATGCATTTTGCTTTTAGTAGCACAACTGAACGAAAACACAGCGTCGTCCCAGTATATCCATCCGAGGACCCGCATTTCACGAAAACACCAAGCACTTTATGTCCTCACTCAAGCCTCTGCTTCTACGCGGCAAAATAAGCAGTACAGAATTACGAAAATTGATTTTACGAAAATTGATTTTTCGTGCACACCTTATCACTTTCTACGTTTTGCTGGTTTCTGCGCTGCCTCGTTCGATCACAGTTCCACTTACTGCTCTGTGTGCGGAGATGGGGTCACGTTTTTTTTGTTCTGGATATTGCCATCCTTTTTAGAAGAGTGTTTTTCATGCTGCTTTCCAAAACTTACTCACATCGCTGTGCTATAGAAAAGCGCCGGGCGTAAAGCGTTTGCCTGAGTGAGGAGCTTAGCAGTTTGAACACCGGGCACTGATTGCGCCGAACTGTAAAGCAACAGCGGTCACCGTCTCAGCCAAGAAAAAACTATATCTCTATAATCACAGCAAAATTTAGCATTACATTTCTGTTGCAATAAAAGAATCTTAATATCCGTTCACTGAAACAAAGGCATAAAAATGTGCAAAAACGGTTCAGTAATTTATACAACCGCAAGAGGCACAAGGACAGCGGCTCTCCGACCCTACTCCACAGCCACGTGCCCACCAAAATCATAAAGCGTAGCGTAAATTTTTACTGTCAGAAGCGTCTCAGTGAAAGAAATTTGTTCGGAAATATCAAACTGTGTGAATTCAGAGCGGGTGCCCCACCCTCTCCCTCCCCAAGGAAAATTTACGCACAGCACTGACTGTCCAGTGCAACAAAAAACTCGTGGCTTTTCCGGAGAAGCGAGTGAGGGATGAGTAATGGGTGGGAAACACACCGCCCTTCTTCTGCCCGTACAGTGATCCTAAAATCGTTAGTTTAGAGAAATGCGCAAAATTCCGACCGGTGCAAACATAAGTAAAACAAACGGGCGCACATTCAACCAGGGTAGCATAAAATTTCACACGAATGAAATGCAAATCCTGTTTAAACATGAGCGAAACTCCGATCATAAAAGCTTTAAACTAATTATAAAGTAGTAACTTGCACTGCTAATTCGCAAAAAAATGCTACACTGAAAAGAGAAAAGGGCGTCTATATGAGCAGGATGTGCCAACTTGCGGAAAAGCGCCATTTCTTGAAAAGGTCGTCAGTTGGACTAGTATGTATCCTGTATTTGTGCCCGACGCACACAGTTTCGATGTTTGGGCAAACTTTCCCTTGAGCAACTGAAAAACTTAGCAAAAAGCTATCTGTTGGACTACTAAGCACAGCTTGTTCTTAGCAGTTAACATGGAGGATTCATTTTGAATGGGGCAATTCTGGATAATTCTAAAACAAAGGCACTTGTAACATTTTTCTTATCTACCGAATAGTTCTCGAATTAAATCTATTCTAATACAACATAACAATGCAAAAAGTACAAAAGTATAAAAAGAAATTGACAATCGATTGACGTCGCACATCAGAGAGGAATACCAACAAGAAAGTAAACAACCAGTCGGGCAATTTTCAAAGAGTTAGCGCATGTACGTTGAAAGGCGGTGACTAACAGGAGATATGCGACTCAAGAAGTGTTTGGCGAGCTAAAGCCAGCCTGTGCAGCACACCAATAACATTACTGTCATCTGATCTCTACATTAACTGCCCGGCGGTTCTCACTAGAATAAACAAGAGTGTTTAAACCGATACTTTTTCGAAAGCAAAACAAAAATTGCGCCTCGATCCTTCTCCCTCGTTCCCGACTTTGTCTGCCTAGTTGTGTTGTCAAATAAAGCCATCTCAATTTCTTTACAATGCAGCCATGCTATCTGATTTTAATATCAATCCCCTCGAATATTACAAAACTCACTCCACTGACAGTTAACAGAAAAATTCTGCGATGCAAAAAATTTGATAATTTAGCAGCAAGTGCCTTGTCACCCGATATTTTTACTACAATCCTTACATGCCTGTTTTTAACATTTATGAGTATGTGGTGACTTAATTTGCCACTAAACGCCATTTAAAAATGTGTTGGGGCTGAAAAAAAAAAAAAAAAAACTACGAGCGATTGTTAGTCAGTTTTTGATAACAAGGAAAAATGTAACAACAAAGAAGTTGGAAAAAATTTAGAAAAAAATGTCAATTCAAACAAGCGGCGGTAACTCTTGCGTTATTTTAAAAAAATTATAGAATTTCAAATAACGTTTGCTTGTAATTTGAATCCGATAATGAAGAGAATAACGATTTTTCATTCCTTAAGAGGGGATGGAAAGGGCTGATACAAAGGGAGAATGAAAGAAGAAAACGCAACAGTTGGTACCCTTTTAAGCGGAGAGTAAATGAGGTGTAGCCAAAAGCAATTCTAAAAATACCTTTTTTAACGTTAATATGTCGGCTACATCTATTTTCAATGCTCAAACACTGATAAAAAAATGGAAAACTGTTTGAAAGTGCACTCCCTCATCTTCCCAACTTACTGCCCTCCGCTTAAGAAATTTATAAACATTACTACTCCTAGAAATTGTCTACCTTTTTTAAAACGAAAAATAATATTTTTATTTCTGATTATGCGTCGCCAAATCAAAGATGTTTACAGCAACTTTTTTTCCTTTCGAAACGCCTTGCAAACGCCAAAAGTAATTTATCTCAGTCAAAACGACAAAAAATACAGTTCATGGGGCACGGCTAAAAAATTGGATTAATACATTTTCATATACCACTTTTGGAGAATGATACCCGAAGATGCGCATTTTCGGCTAATTTGAAATTATGCATCTCAATGAGTGCGTCGATCGCCGTTTCCACATCATTCAGTTGCAGTAGAGCCATTTTGTGGTCCTTTCTGCAAAAAATGCATCAACTGTCTCCATTTCGATATTTCTGTGTCACATTATCAGGCAAATCTAACACAGCGCCCGAAGAATCTCCCCATATCATCATCAATTTTCACAAAATTTTCGTACAATAAAAAATGCATCTCTCGTTTTTTAATATCGGAAAATGCTCTTAGAATACCTGGAAAATTCGAACAGGATTTAGAACCTGGAAAAATTCTACAATTCATTTAGTTCCTCAGTCACATGCCACCATGCTACATGTGCTCAACGACGAGGTACAGTATGCAGTCAAAACAGGCAGCTTTTCAGAAGATACACAAAAAGTTTTCAGCTTACAGTACTCGAACGCTTAATGTAAAAGAAACCCAAAAATCTGTCGAGCTCTTGCAGCCCGATTCAAAAGCAGTTGACTTAAAGAACAGTGCCGCAGCCGAAAGTGATCGGAAAAGGTACTGCTCTGCAAGCAACAGCAAACATGAACTGGAAAATTAAAGTTTGGTCCGCTTGTCCTCTAAAATTTTCAAGCCACTTAATGGAGAAAGCGAGACCACACAGCTTATCTATTGCAAAGCATGACGAAAATAACGCTGTTACGTAGGTCCGCCAAGTTTAAAAGGGGATGTGAAGTGCGCTGCGCAGATTACAGTGCCTCCTTTGCTGAGAACCGAAACCAGCCAGCACTGTCAACTAGCAAACTTTGTCCGCAAGAGCGGGTGCCCACTTGGGAAAAATTGCAGGAGAGGAACTGCATATGTATCGTTGACACGTGAAGAGGAGCAGTTGCAGATGAGCAGGAATGCAACATGATGCATTTGATCAAATTAACCAAACGTTTCGAAGCTTCTGTTTATCACTAGTTTCTATTACCAGATCTCTGTTTTTCATCGATTTCTATCACCAGCGTGCTAAAAAATTTACTGGGAAACTCCTTTTCGCTTCATATAAATGAAAAAACAAATACGGTAGAACGAACGGGAAAAATTTAAAGCCTTTGGGAATGAAGCCACGTTGCTCGAAAGCACTGGTAAGGAATTCTTCGGTAATATTTGGAGGAATATTGGAGAGGTGCAGTGTGGCGCTCGGAGGATATATATTCAGATAATTCTTACTGCCCGGCTTCTTGAAGCGATGCAACGGTGACTGCGAATAATCACGAGTTAAACCAGCGTCTGGTTGTCCTAAAATTAACAATAATTTTTGCGCCATTGACAATCCTCGCAGTACGCTATGCGAATGCAAAAAGAATGGATGCGCCGGTACGTGTAAAACGTAATGATATTACACAGTAATGATTTCTAGTCCAATTACCGACGGTCACCAAAAACAGAAATTTTTAGCGCGCTTAGTCCTGAAGAAAAATGGGAGTTTGGAATTGAGATCAAGAACCGCAGCAGTAAGATGTAACAGTTGATTCCAGGGGCAATTACTGAAGGCCGACTTACAAGGGTGAGAGGCGGCTGCACTGATTGTGGCGTGTCCCCTCCGATTGAAACAGATACATAGAGGTGCGTGGAAAGAGGCGCGAGAGTGGGCGACGGGGAGCATAACAAGGGGGATGCACGAGGTTACTGGGTGGAAAGAGCTGAGACCTTGCCTGGAAGTAGGAATTAAGAACACAGAGGGATCTACTGGGTTTAGAAAAAGCCGCATGACGTTAACAAGTCGATAGTAAGTTTCATTTCTTATTACACGTTTTTGCGGAGTAACGCTACAGCGTTGCAGTAGTCAGCAAAAACGCATACAGCGACAACCTGCCTGCGTGTGTATCTGTTCGCCTGCCCGGATATTTCAACTCGGTAACCAAACAAGCTTAAATGCTAGGATATTGTCAATGGGTTCCCTGACCACAGTGCAAATTCAGGAACGTGATAACAACATTTGTGCACGCCTGTGTCTCATGTGCGAACACACCAAGGTTCTGACGAGCAAATTACTAACTCAGTGAGTAGAAAAGTTAGGATGTTCAGAAGGATATTCTTTGTTCAGGTACGATCCAAATATTTTAAATTCAGCCCCTAAGTTTTAACAAGCAATATAGTCCAATAAAGCCGCATCAGCCGGTCACAAAAGCGCCTGATCACATCATCAGATCCTTGATGGAGTGCCTACTAGGTTTTATCTAATCAAATCGGTGCCTAGAGGCAATAGCAGCTATTACGATTCATCGACTTCGGTACAATTTAACAATTTATAGCTGAATCTGTACTGCTCGGCTGATTTCAGCTCCTTGCTACTAAAATTAGACCCTATCCAATACCTGGTGCCCCTTAGGAATAAGACTGACCCTCGTCTACTCAGTGCGTTCCAGCATGGTTCGGCTACAGCAACCAGCCAAAAAAGAGAGACGCCAGCGATTTGGGCTGTATGACTGATACTTTTACCTTCTTTAGGCATCTGAACATTGTTGTGCTTGGAAGTAGCGACGCGAATCTGCTTGTCATGCCAGCGAACCTTATCCAGATGTTGAATTGCTGCAACGCATTATACAGTAACGCATATTTATTCGCTCCAAAAAACTCGTCGCTATCCAAAAAAAAGCTTGGAATTGTTACTGGAAACATTGTGGTAAATGCTACCACACACTTACCAAACCAGTCTGAATATATTCAAAGGATTCATGTAACGAACACATAATGTCAGTTCCCTGTTCGACAACTGCTTAATCTAGGAATTAGGTAGGTATCAGGCAACATCAGCAGAAATTTTTTTCCGTCTTTCGAAAAATTATTGTCTCCGTCGCTTGAATATGACAGAAGGAGTAAATAGAGCAGATTCCGAGTACTTGAGTGACACAGCTAGTACTAATTGTTGTGTTAAGAAAACAACATGGATAGAATCATGGGTGGATCGAGTCTCACTTGGGCAAGCTGTCAAACAATTTCATTTATATAGTGATTCAAGCTTTCGCATTTTCCTGATACGTGGTTAGGTGTCCTTGCAGCTGATTTTTCATTTGCACTCAATTCTCTAGAACGCTCAAAATCCATTAAGGAGCGAGAGCATTATTCGTCGTCTTGCATACTGGGATCTAGCACGCTGATGCGCTTAAGCAAGAATAACACGTAATGAGATCATAATTCCGCAGTAACAGGTGACGATATCGCCGACTATACGAAAATACACGAGAAACCGTAAAAGAAAGGGAAAAGAACAAACCGAGTTGTGCCTGCTGCGGTTCAGCATACTGGATCAGTGCATTATCCTTCTTATTGAACAAGATTTTTACACGGTGCACATCGCCGTACACACCTGGAAATACACAAACGTAAACTTTTCTTGCAGCTTAATATCAAGCAGTCGTGCATATATTGGTCGTGCTGTTCGCTTAGTGATTTGTGGTGACTGTAGTGCCACTATTTTATTTGAAAACATAAAAACCGCTACTCGTTCAGACGAAAAATTCGAAATCGACATTCGCTGGGAACGGAGCAGCTGTAACCGAAGGCTGTAAAAATGACTAGCACTGAAGCGGAAAGTTGTTAAAGCCACCGGAAATTAACATACTTGTGAAGTGCTAAAAAAAGAAGGCATTGGTTCGAGCCACCGTTTTTGTCGGCCGGGATAATGTGAAGCGAGCAAAGAAAAGAGCAATAGCTTCTAGCAGGCTATAACTAAACTGAAGCTTGCGCTACATAAAAAAGCAGCCTTTTCTGGAAAACGGGAAAGAAAAGTTTTCCAGATACGGGAAAGATTTTCAGGAAAACAAACTAAAATAAAGAGAGCACAAAAGCGCATCTGCACAAGGAGCAATTCCACAATTTTATTAGCTTTTCTGTAAATGCTGAACAGCGGGCAGTACGGATAAGCAGCACTTCAGTTTCCAACTTCCCCGCACAAAAATTTCAGATTAAGGGGTGTTTGTAAAGCCAATGAAAAAGTTGTCCACTTTCTTCATTCTCGACAATCAAAAGCTTGAACTCGGGAAACTTTATTTTCGTTGTTGAAAAATATAGGAAAGAGAACAAGCACACATACCGAAAAGAGTGAAGAGAGCATCTGGCGTGACCTTCTGAAAATAGGACAGAGATAGCGTGTGTGTGCGTTTGTGTAAAGTATGACGGTGTGAAAAGGAATAAAACAGAAATTCGAAAAAAAAACGATCGCTATTAAAACAGAACAGTTTGAAAAAAGGTTTTAAAACAATGATGAGCAAAGCATTTCTAGAATTATAACCTTCGCTCGCTTCCTCCTTATCACCTGCGACGTAACCAGAAAATAAGAATGGGAGGGGGAATATTCCCTTTTTTGTTTTGTAACACGGGCACAAAAACTCATCTCTTGGAAACAAGAAATAAATCGAAGAGCCTATAACAAGAGGCACAAAAATTCAGTCAAGGAACATGGAAATGGGTCGAAAAAGCGCTAAATTTAACCAAAAAGACACAGGGCGCCTCCAAACAACTGCATGAGCACAGGCACAAATTTTTAGTAAACGGGCAAAAAAACTACCAAAAAGAGAAATTTACTCAAAATGGCATAAACACCGGTTATTAAAAGGCATTAAAACAAACTTTAAAATGCTAATTCTGGCGCACTAAAGATGTCACATTTAGGCGAATACAGTGAAAAAAAAATGACCAGGCGGTGTTAATTTAACAAAAAAATAGTACTTTTTTCCTCCTCCCTCCGCCACTGTTAAACCCCGGGTACAAACATCATTATCTCACACTTGTCCAGACCCACAGCCGCTGTGTTTTGAAGGGTTCAGATGACAAAGCAGTAGGGAACGTGCATGGCCGGAAACATCCAGCACAAACGGCGAACCGCTTTAGCCAATTAATTTTTCCCACGAATGCTTTGACTGTCAGAAAAAACCTCTAAAAACTTCCTTTGTTTTTTCTAGTCGCTACGGAATATCTGATGTTAGTGCGACTAAGATTTCGAAATTTAATGGGATTTTTTCGTTTTTAAATTAAATTTTTCGTTTTCTTGTTATTATTAGCCATTCCCATGCGTGTTTACTCTGTGCTACTCAAAAACTCAAGCAAATGATATATGCTTCGCCTGATAATTATATAGAGTTTCTGGCCACTTAACAAAGATGCAAAAACACATAAAAACTGGAATGGCAAGTCGCTGGAAAAAGACCGAAGACTGGATGGTAAAAATGATGAAATCACGTCAGAACTAGTGCAAGGGTGTTAAACAAGAAACGCCTTAAACTGGACTAAGAGCAGGAGATTGTAGCGCACAAACCCACTTGGCGAAAGGAAGTGGAAAGGTACAATTTCAAGTGGAAAAGCATGAAATACAAGCAGCGCCCTCTCTTCAAAAATCCGTGAAAACCATGTAGTAACGTTCTGGAACTTTTGTCAGTATTCTTCACTATACCGAATTCAGGAATCTCTCCCCTCCTCCTCTGCTCTTCAGAAAAAGTGCCAACTGAATTTCCCAACAAAGCTGGGGAGGCATAACAAACCTTCTGTACACTGCAGGGAGTTGGTAAATTTAAAAATCAAATAGAACTAACATTTTCATCGAGGTTGGAGACAAGCACAACCGAGGAGACGTTGAGGACACCAACATGCGGAAAGCGAAGCGCGGCTGCTGTTGCGCTGATCATTGCTGCATTGGCTGTTACCGGACTCGTTGCACCAGAAGCTAGTGTAGTTGTCAAACCGGTCAAGAATGGCGAGATTCCGGACGGTGATGCCAGTGCATCTGCAAATTCCGCGTGAACAGTTTTTAAGAGATGGTAATTAATTTTAGAAAACTTTTGAAAACTTTTGAAATGCAGTTGCTGTGTGTGCGTTAAAACAAGCGAGAAATTTCAGCTGCCTGCTATGTTTCTTCGTGAATATGCATGCGTGTTTTATATCGAATTTTCACGCTTTTTAAGTGTATGTTCTAATACCAATATAAAGAATAAATTTTTTATCCAGACGGTTCCATTTGAACGACACGACTTGAAAATGGCGAGGGAAGTTGTTCTTTTTTTCTGATAATGAGAGAAACCGAGTGGAGTACAAGCATTTCTAAAAATAATTTTACTACTTCCAGCAAAGATTTATTACCGTACGCAGACCAACATCGATGCTCAAACATCATAAAACACATTTCCTTCAACTTTTATCAAGCAGAATAATGCAAGACACTCTTGCTCCTATGAGTGCTTTTTATGCACTGCTAAATGCATCAGTCTCCACAACAGTCTTCCAAGACCATCCACACTCCTTATATCTTCACGTACTTAAATTATTTAAAAATCCCGAATTCATCTCAGCACGGAATATAAGAATTTTTTCAAAAGTCCCTGCTTCGCAACCTCTTTACGGTGGATCCCGTGAAGGCGGCGAACGGGCTAATGATTTAACAAAATCGTAAACTTTAAAAATTTCATTCAAAAAAGAACCTTTGGCAATTTCTTTTTAAAAAGTTCCAGCGTTCGCAAGCTCACTAGCAATTTCACACTAGTAGAACAAAGATCCGTGGGAAGCAAATGAACTCACCAGCTTGTGGAAATGCAGCGGCTTGCTGTTGAAAAGCATACTGCGGATTTGCCGCGCCAAACGGAAAGGCGAAAGGTGACTGCACGAGCGATGCAATTGAGGGACACATCTGCCCACCTGTTGCTGCCGACACTGAAATTCCCAATATGATTAAAAAATATGATCAATACAAAAAGACCAATGGTTTGTTGGGGAGTAAAAATCTCAAACGGCGAGCCGAACATCAACATGTAACTGTATCTTAGCAATGCAGACTCCACAGCTGTGGTGGATTCCACACTTCGAGTTAATCTTCACAGTCCTTGAAAAACTTGAGATTCCAAATTTCTACAGGAATCCGAATAATTTTTTGAAACAACTCGAAGCATACGGGCTAAAGAGCCACTTAAAACAATATTTTCAAATGATTTTGTTCAGAAGCAAAGTGCAAGTAAACAAAATCACTGGCGATGCGCAACAGGCAGATCCGTGCGATCGTGCGTTTTTGCAGTGTTTCGTGCTGTAGTGAGATCACTCGGAAACCCAGTAGCTAGAAATTGTGACGTGCTCGTCTTCGAAGTTCGGGAAGTTAATTGTACAACTGTGCGGTACTTGGGCAATGGACATTTCATTAAAATTTTAGCTTTCCAACTTTTTTGGTTCCCGAGTTAACAGTATTTCCGCAAATAAACTTCATAGTTCCGTACGCGAGAATCACGCATACCTAGGACTGAATTTCTTACCTCCAACTTTTACCGGAGCCGGGATTTGATACCTCTAAATTTCATGGCCCTTGCTTCTGAATTAAGATAGCATCGTTTTCAGGTTCTTTGTTGCCAATACAAATCAATAATTTTTACGGTTTTGTCATTTATGGAAAAATTTTCTCCCATATAAAAGTATCTCTACTGGCAATGTATATGGAGTAGAAAGAAATTAAGAAAAACCAACGAACAAGTACCTAAATCGGATTCATTAAACTGTGTACTTACCCTCGATTTTGGTAGAATGCACCAGCCCTTGAGAAGTGAACTATGACCTAATTTAATCATCAACGAGCGCTAACAACACTAGAATATAACAGCAAATGCTGTGATCGGAGTAGTGCGAATAACTGAGTAGGCAAGAACCTGCCATATGTTCTGACAATAGCATGCATTAGTATTGTCAGTGGTGCGGCAGCGCCACACAGAGGCCGTCATTAAGGCGGCACGCCGCAGCAGATGCAAAAATTTAACAGAATGTTCCCTTTCAAAGTACCATTAACATTTTGAAGTTTAAGGACCAGTAAATCATAAATTCTAGCTACTGAGATTCCAAGCAATCTTACTAAGCACGAAATACTGCAAAAACGCAAACCAACAGGAATTATCGCATAGGCCGCCTTGTGCGCGTCGTCAATGATTATGCTTTTTTGCATATAGGTAAATTGCAAAAACGCATATTGGGAAGAGGCTGTCTGTGTGTGTGTGTCTGTGTGTTCGCACTTT